TCAAACTGGGAGATATGTTGCTTGATATTTTATTATATAGCTGTACTTATCCAGCTAACTTGGAGATATAAAATAGAGCATCAAAGTGCATAACTCCCAGTTTGATGAACAAGTACAGCTAAATAATAAAGGATTAAGTAACATGATATCTCCCAATTTCATGAATAAGTACATCTAAATAATAAAGGATCAAGAACATACCTCCCAGTTTGATGAACAAGTACAACTAAATAATAATGGATCAAGCAACATGATACCTCCCAGACTGATCAATAAGTACAGCTAAATAATAAAGGATCGAGTAACATGACACCTCCCAATTTGATGAACAAGTACAGCAAAATAATAAAGGATCAAGAAACATGATACCTCCCAGATTGATGATCAAGTACAACTAAATAATCAAGGATCAAGCAACATGATACCTCCCAGACTAATCAATAAGTACAGCTAAATAATAAAGGATCGAGTAACATGACACCTCCCAATTTGATGAACAAGTACAGCAAAATAATAAAGGATCAACAAACATGATACCTCCCAGATTGATGATCAAGTACAACTAAATAATCAAGGATCAAGTAACATGATACCTCCCAGATTGATGAACAAGTACAACTAAATAATAAAGAATCAAGTAACATGATTTGGCTGTACTTGTTTATAAAACTTGGGGACATCATGTTACTTGATCCTTTATTATTTAGCTGTACTTGTTCATCAAACTGGGAGTTATGCTCTTTTATGCTCTATTTATTTGGCTGTACTTGTTTATAAAACTTGGGGACATCATGTTACTTGATCCTTTATTATTTAGCTGTACTTTTTCATCAAACTGGGAGTTATGCTCTTTGATGCTCTATTTTATTTGGCTGTACTTGTTTATAAAACTTGGGGACATCATGTTACTTGATCCTTTATTATTTAGCTGTACTTGTTCATGAAACTGGGAGTTATGCTCTTTTATGCTCTATTTATTTGGCTGTACTTGTTTATAAAACTTGGGGACATCATGTTACTTGATCCTTTCTTATTTAGCTGTACTTGTTCATCAAACTGGGAGTTATGCTCTTTGATGATCTATTTATTTGGCTGTACTTGTTTATAAAACTTGGGGACATCATGTTACTTGATCCTTTCTTATTTAGCTGTACTTTTTCATCAAACTGGGAGTTATGCTCTTTTATGCTCTATTTATTTGGCTGTACTTGTTTATAAAACTTGGGGACATCATGTTACTTGATCCTTTCTTATTTAGCTGTACTTTTTCATCAAACTGGGAGATATCATGCTGTCTAATGGTTTATTATTTAGCTGTATCATATTGTTTCATGCTTTATTATTTGGCTATAGTTGTTCATCAAACTGGGAGATATGTTGCTTGATATTTTA